TACCAATTTCACCTACCAATTACAACATTAAAAAAAAACATTCCCCGAGATGTAAAATGCTTCACTCAAATAGCTTCTTAAATAACTTCACATTCCACCACATGGGCCTTTAATACGTGCAATACCTAGGCAAATTGTGAAGTTAGCAATTATTGTCTCTTACTATTTATTAATATATTTGCCTAAAGTGCAAAATGTTCTCATGAAAGAGGCCCCTTACCTGCCTTGGGTCTCATAATTGTGATACAGCCAATTTTATTATTTATATTTTTCAACATCGATCCGATTTTCAAACGAATTATTTTAAAATCTTTCTTGATTTGAAGCTTTCGTGACTGCAGGACTCCATACTTTTTGGTTGTTTCGGTTAAGTCACGAAGTTAGAAACAAAATACAATTTTATTTTATTTAAAATCTTTCTGCAGAGTTGATTCTCCGTCTACCTCTTGGGCAGTGCCGGACAGTGAACCCATCATTCCACAATTCAATATGCTCTATTCATAGTTTTAATTAAGCAGTTTATTATTTTTTTAAAGTAAGCATACCTTACAAAAATATAGTGCAAACCTCTAAACTCACACCACCTCTAACCCAAATCACCCACGTCTGAGTAACTCGTAGACACACAAACAAAAAGAATACCAACACAATTAAAGGTCAGATTAAACACTGACACAAGGCTAGAACAAAACCGGCTTAAACATTTTTCGTTACACTTAAATGTGTTTATTTCGGCAAAAGTTCGAGCTTTCTAATGGTTCTTTAAGTGCCTAAAAATTAGCCTCGGTCTGCTCGATGATACGGTAACTAAATCTGAAATATTAGAATATAACACACAATAAACACAACGTAACTATACGTATCTACTTAACCGACTCATAGTTTGAATACGTCATGAGTTTAAAAAAAGAACGCGATTAAATGTTACCACGACAAACGCTCGCCTCATAATGGCCGCCGTCCGTCTACCACACTGGCCGCGGCCGTTTAAGTGGGCGGAAGTGACGTCACAATCGTTGGGGATACCCTTGCCAAAAAGTGACGTCATCACATTCACCTGATGAATCAAAAACTATGAATCTATGTTTTTTTTATTTTACCAGCTAAGGCCCACTACTCAGCTAAATAGGTCTTTTTCAGAAGCGACCTGGTCGCAAATGATAGCTCAACGGAGTAGCTTATCACGTGGAAATGTATCACCGCCAAATACTCTAAACGCATGTTGAGTCTAAATGTGGCGGGAATATAACACTGTGGCCTTAAAATTTAAGTAAAATACATAAAAGGCGACGTTTCAGTCAAATGCGGTGCTTCCTAGCACGTAAAAAAACGACGAAGAGCCATTGGCTGAAACGTTTCCTATTAGATAAAAGCGATGATGAAGGACCTTCACCAAAATGTCACCTAGGTATTTTTTCCATTTTGAAGCCACACACAGTGAGCGTTATTGACGAACGCGTTACAGTTGTTGTTGTTGTTGTTAAATTGTACTTGTCCACCGCTGCCAACGCAGCATCATCACCAAATGCATTCCTTTAAATTGATTATCGTCGTGTTTATTCATCGTCTGGATCGTTTTCTTTCTCCCGTCTCACGTGTGCGCTCGTTGTTTACAATAGCCACCGTGTGACATCAGCCAGCATATGGTTATAATTTTCACGCAATTATCATTACGATATTATTGTTCGAGGTGTCCGTTGTGTACAAGTAAGCGTTTTCACAATGCAATGTTGTAGTGCAATATTAATGACCAGGTTAAATACCAAAATATGTATTAATTCACGCTATTTTTTTCTACAAAGAAACCTGTAAAATGGTCTACGTGAGCTCGTTACAGACAGCATACGTGAATTTTACAAAGTCTACTGTTTTACATAACTCAAAATAATAATTAGCGTCCTTGCCGAGTATATAAATAACGTTAACATTTTACTATTGTATTGCATTATGTAGTGTATAATTTTGCGTCGAAATGGGATCTCTGTCGTAGAGAAAAAATCAGCAATTCACCAGAATTGAATCCAACAATCCCGACACTGCTGATGAGACACTTAATGTCGAAACCGGTCCAGAGTTTTGCTTGCACTGAGCCAAAGCTGTTGATATTATGCACTCCCAGAAGACAGTACATTTAGATTATTTCGCTGCTATAAATGTCCACGTGATAAGCCACTTCATTGAGCTTTCATTTGTGGTCAGGTCGCTTCTGAAAAATAAGCGTATAGTTCAGTGGGCTCTACCTGATGAGATAAACATTGTTTAGTTTTATTTGTATATTTAAAAGTGATCTGTTTACCTTTTCTATACTTTCCACTGCTCTCGTGCTTTTGGATTGTTTGCTGTTGCAACTTTCTGACCCGTTCCAATGGACATCTGTGAAAAAGAGCTTGAAAGCTTATCGGATTCCTCCAGTATAATTATTCTGATTTTGAATTAATACCAGTATATGTTTTATGTGGAGAGATAGATACGTGAGACGTCTGCTTATTAATTTCGACTTTTTTTTACTCGCTCGTTTCGACCCTTAAGTAATCGAATATTAATCGACGAATCGTCACGCCCCCAAGTATTCATGAAGCGGTGAAAAGTCACGGGGTGGTGCGATACGCGTCACCATCGCCAGCGTGAAACACGACGAGTGCTTTGACTGATGCTACACGACCCATGGTGCTACAGAAAGTCTAGAACGCTGACTATATCGTCTCAGATCTAGTCGCGAGCGTGTACACTCATTACGAGACGCATTCTGAAAGGGGCCTTTTCGAATTCTGGGCCGTCAATATGACGGCGCTGACGTCCATTGGTGGCACTCACGTGGGCACGGGCCCAGCCTCAAGTGCCACGTGGGTTTGAGCCTGTGGACCGAGTAATTCGCCTCGCGCGGAGTGTGACGCAAAAGTTGATAGAAAGCGGCCCAAGCCCCGTACCTTATATGAAGTTTATATTTTATCTTCTTGGTTCTTTCGGTAAAGTCACGTAGAAGGGAAATAATAAAAATAAAACATAAAATACAATTTAATGATGTTTTATTTTTATTATTTTATTATTTCCCTTCTACGTGACTTTATTATGTTTTATTTTTATTATTTTATTATTTCCCTTCTACGTGACTTTACAGAAATAACCAAGAAGATGAATCCCTGCAGTCACGAAAGCTTTAAATCGAAATTTATATTTGATATTAAACGTTATTGTTCGCACTTATTTTTAATTCGTTGCTATATTGTTTCGGCTTCCCGGTCGGAGAGGCGCGATTTCAAATTTCGATGAGGTGGTCAATTCGCTTATCATCTATCTGGGGTAGTTAAAATCAGTACTATTTTGGACAGAGGTCCATTCTGGTTGTCCTCCGAAATGTACCGGCCCCCTGCCATAGGAATCTATAAAATTGCTCTCCCATCGCTTGAGTGTTTCCCACGGAAATGTGTTCCATCCCACGCTTACCACCGCATAGAAACACTCTGTCTGCGACATTCGCAGTAAGCAGTGCACCACCCGGAGGCAGAGAACGGCTCCGAGTTGACGACGTTACGAAACTAAATCTTAAGTTCCCTTTTCGGGGGATTTCAAAAAAAAAAATTGACTCCAGGGGGCTTCATTTCTCACTGAATATGTTTCGAGTCGTTGGTAGACTGAAATGTGTGGCACACGAAGAGGAGAAAGAGTCACAGCGGCGTCTAGGCTGGATGTGGTGCGTCGGTGGCGGAAATGTAGGCACGCTTCCGCGGCCATTTATATATATAATAAGTATAACCCGTAAAAACAAAGTTTTTCACTATAAATCCTTTATATGCGTGGCGGCTAGAGTCCTCTCGTCCTCTGGCTTGAGATGGCTGCCACCTATGGGTCAGATGATTGCATTGCACCATTAAGCAATTGGTAATTAAAAATAATATTTTTGTCCTAAAAAGTGTAAAATTTGTCACGCACAACGAGTTTGTGTGGAAAATGTCAGCTCGATTGGATCACGGGAAGTGGGTTAAAAAACGACCGAAAGATTTGCACGGTCCTAAGCAAGCAAGCGAACTTAATATAAAGGATTTAAAAAGGGAAATGTGTCAATATGTGTGTGTCTGTTCGAAGTGTTTAGCATACTTCCCAACATGCAACAAACTTGCTTCAAATAGTCAAAAAGTCTCCACTTGTTCGCCATCATTGTCCACGCGTGCCTGGAATCTTCTCCAGGCGGTCAACAGAGCCCGGAGGCACGACACTTCTTGTGTTTATTGTTGCAAATCCTCAGAAGTGTTAACATATTTTTGAAGCACCCTGTATCATTGCAGCATTGTTTATATGGAGGGACATTTATAGGAAGGAGGCACAATCGCCTGCTTATTTATTATATTTTAAGTCCTTTGGACATGACTGACCTGTCCGTCCCTCCCTCCAGCCAGACAGCCAGCCAGTAAAACTTGTTCTAAGCACGTGCGACATTACCTACCTTGCAAAGAGTGTTCATTGTGAGTCCACTTGAGTTGATTGTGCCCTGTTCGGTCTCTCTCTCTCTCTCTGTCTGTCTCTCTGTCTGTGTCTGTCTCTCTCTGTGTCTCTGTGTCTCTGTCTCTCTGTCTGTCTGTCTCTCTGTCTGTCTGTCTTTCTCTGTCTCTCTCTCTCTGTCTCTCTGTCTCTCTCTCTCTCTCTGCCTCTCTGTCTCTCTCTCTCTGCCTCTCTGTCTGTCTCTCTGTCTCTCTGTCTCTCTGTCTGTCTGTCTGTCTCTCTGTCTCTCTATCTCTCTGTCTGTCTCTCTGTCTGTCTCTCTGTCTGTCTGTCTCTCTGTCTGTCTCTCTGTCTGTCTGTCTCCCTGTCTATCTGTCTTTCTGTCTGTCTCCCTGTCTCTCTGTGTCTCTGTCTCTCTCTCTGTCTGTCTCTCTCTGTCTGTCTCTCTGTCTCTCTGTCTCTCTCTCTCTCTGTCTCTGTCTCTCTGTCTCTCTCTGTCTGTCTCCCTGTCTCTCTGTTTCTCTGTCTCTCTGTCTCTGTGTCTCTGTCTCTGCACGCGCCAGAGAGCTGGATCGAGCGGTGTCTGAGCGAGAGCGAGGGCAAGGGGAGGTACCCCCCCGAGCACAGCCCCCTCGGGTCCCTCTCCAACGAGGAGGAGCGTGAGTGCGCGCACAAACAACAACAACAACAAACAAACAACCGCCACTAAGTGGCGTTGACGCCACCGCGGCTCTTGTGCCAGGCTATGTGCACTTTAAGACCACGTGAAGTGTCCAACGCCCGCCGGCAGGAGGAGGTCACGGGGCAGACCCAGCAGGTGCCACGGGTCGACTGACTGAGATGACTGGCCCCATGCACCACCTGTGCCCCCCTACTGCGCCAACTTCACCACAGGTCACATACGTACAGACACACGAACGACACGCAATGCAAAACACGTGAGCGGGTTGGAACTCGGGCGACTGGGTTTGTAGAAACATCGCGCAAAACCACAGCGCCACCGCTCCCCTTGAAGTACAAACAAAGATAAAGACGTGTCTGAATGTGCCTACGTCTGAGTGGACATTCGGTAGGAGGCCCAGGACTGGTGTCAGATATTCACCTCCTTCACATAAAGACAAAGATCCCCCGTATAGCCTGGGCAGACTGCTGAGGCAAGTGCTGTAAGCGAGCACCTCCGAAGGTCGGCACGGTGTAAGTGTCCAGGAGCACGCGCGGCCGCCTTTGTCTCCCCAGGTACTAATTTTAGGCTGAGTCAACCTAGGGAAGGCCCCGTTCAGATAATCGTCACTGGTATTGACCGTGAGCGGGAATCGAACCGGGTCGCCGGGTTCGTCACGCAGCGCGCTAACCACTACACCACCGCTCCCCATATACACACGAACGTACACACGCACTCAGTAACACACACACGAACTCAGTAACACACGCACATGAACTCACTAACACACACACTAATCACTAACACACACACACTAACTCACTAACACACACACTCACTAACACACACTAATCACTAAAACACACACACACATTCACTAAAAACACACACACACGCACTCAGTAACACACACACACGCGAACTCAGTAACACACACTCACTAACACACAGTAACACACACACAGTAACACACACACACTAACTCACTAACACACACACACGAACTCGCTAACACACACACACACGAACTCAATAACACACACACACAGTAACACACACACATGAACTCACTAACACACACACACACTCACTAACACACACACAGTAACACACACACAGTAACACACACACACACGAACTCACTAACACACACAGTAACACACACACAAACTCACTAACACACACACAGTAACACACACACACACGTGAACTCACTAACACACACACGCAAACGCCACCCACAAAGTCGCTCACACGCACGCCACCCAGGCCACCACACACAGAGATTAGCGCCTGAGCACCCTCACTCAGTGTGACTGTGGACCTCTACGCTGATTCGTGTGTGTGTGTCTTTGTGTTTGTCTATGTATACTTATGTGTGTCTATGCACAGGCACAACTTTGTGTCTGGCTGTCTCTCTCTCTCTCTGTGTCTGTGTGTCTAGCAGTCTGTCTCTGTGTTGGTGTGTCTTTGTGGGTCTGCATGCCTCCATCTCTCCATGTCTATCCACATCTCTGTCGGTGAGTGTGTGTCCCTCTCTGTTGTTGTTGCCTGTGTCTTTGTGTGTGACCCTGTCTCTCCGTGTTTTGCCTCGTCCTCTACGTGTGTTCGTCTCTCTCTCTCTCGACGTCCCCTTTTTTAAATGTTGATGACCATCTCCATGATGACTGCGCGCGTGTCACAATCTCCCCCCCCCCCGTCTTTGTCTCGCCATCGTCTCTCAGATGACGAGAAAGATAACAGCCGTGCCTCCAAGCCGCACTCCACTCCCGCTACCCTGCAGTGGTGAGTAACTCCGAATTTAAATAAAAACCCCCACAAATACTAAGCGGGATGGGAAAAGAATAGGGACAATAGAGATCACAAATGGTGACATCGCCCCCCCCCTCCCACCGCGAATTCGGATCGATTCATCGCATCGAGAAGGCGCGGCGACTCTGTTTGCTTGGGCCATGCCGAAGAGGCCGTCCTGAAGCGTTGCTGACCACAAGTCCACTCAGTTTCGATTTAAAGCTTTCGTGACTGCAGGGATTCATAGTCTTGGTTCGTTCGGTAAAGTCACGTAAAAGGGAAATGATAAAATAATAAAAAATAAAACATAATAAAATAAAATTCTCACGACGTTTCGGCCACAACGCAAGCAGCCGTCCTCAGGTGAAGAAACAGAGCTGCCATTGGGGACGCTGTCTTTCCGACAGCTCTGTTTATTCACCTGAGGACGGCTGCTTGTGTTGTGGCCGAAACGTCGTGAGAATTTTATTATGTTTTATTTTTTATAATTTTATTATTTCCCTTCGACGTGACTTTACCGAAAGAACCAAGAATATGAAGTCCACTCAGCTCCACATGCGCCCGAACCGCATCAGCTCCATCTCTTCTCACAGCCCGTGCCGCGCCTGTTCATCCCCCTCGTGTCAGGCCATGCGGTGGCTGGCCCAGCCAACGCAGCCCACACTACGAAGATAAATGCAAAGACCCCCCTCCCAACGCCGTATCGCCTTAACGGACTGTCGGGGCAAGTGCTGTTAGCGAGCGCTCCGCAGGAAGAAAAAAACACAAAGTAACCGGCGAACCCAGGTGCGTAGAAAGAGGCAAAGCGATTGGCCCTGTTCAGAAGAATGTCAATTGATGGGATGGGTATCGGCAGCGGGCAGGAGTGGTCACTGTGGGCGACTTGGGAATGGACGCGGGCGTGCGGATGAGCAGTAGGGGGGGGGGGGGGGGGAGCTCGGTGACGAGTCGGTAGGAAGAGCTGAGAAAGTCGGGCTGTAGAAGAGAGAGAGAGACGGGGGGGGGTGAGGAATCATTGAACGGGTCCGGATTTCCCTCTGTCTCGTCTCGCCCCCCTCCCGCAGCAGCAGCAGCAGACGAGATCGCACCTCGCCATCAAATTAGCGCCTCTCGCCAGCCGACCCGACTTCCGAAGGGGAGATCGATGCATGGTGGCTGGCAGGTGGCTGGCCTCAAGGAGTTAAGAGGACCCAGACGGGAGTAAGGGGAGTAGGAGGAGGATGGTGGAGGGAGGACGGAGGGAGATGGAGCCACTTGGCCTATTGCGAAGAGGCGATTGTTTTGCCGAGGTCTCTCATTAGTCGCGGCGGGGTGAATGTTGAGGACTCTCAGAGCCACAGCGGCGTTTTAGTGTCAGGAATGAAGCCCCCCCCTCACCACCACCACCAGGCACCCCACCCCAACTCCGACGGCGGCGGCGTTGTGGTGTTGTCCCCTGGAAGCACGTGCCGCTCGTGGCCGCTTCGCCAAAACCCAAAACCGCTCCCTCCCCTCCCCCCCACCTCGCACAGGTCTCATATATCTCATTCTAGATTTGAAGCTTTCGTGACTGCAAGGATTCATACTCTTAGTTCTTTCGGTAAAGTCACGTAGGTAAAAAATTAAATTAAAATTAATAAAAAATAAAAAATATAAAAAATAAAAATCACGACGTTTCGGAGGCAAGACAAGCTTCCGTCTTCAGGTGAAACTGTCACTTGATACAGATATTTTGCTGTGACAGTTTCACCTGAAGACGGAAGCTTGTGTTGCCTCCGAAACGTCGTGATGTTTTAAAAATATATATTTTTTAATAATTTTAATTTCATTTTTTACCTACGTGACTTTACCGAAAGAACTAAGAGTACTCATATCTCTCGTCTGTGTGTGCGCTTTGTCGCTCGCTCGGTTTAAAAAACAAAAAAATATCCCTGGTGATGAGGTTTGTCCTGGTTTTTTTTTGGTAGGGCAGGCCATTGTTGTCGTTGTTGTTTGTTTGTTGTTGTTGTTTAGGGTAGGGGTAATGATGGTCGAGTAATGTGTCGGGTGTTGGCGGTCGTGGGGAGCGGTAGTGTAGCGGTCAGCGCTGCGCTGCGCTACAAATCCCGAATCCGGCGACCCGAGTTCGATTCCCGCTCCCGGCCAACACCAACGATGATTATCTGAACCGGTCATGGGGTCTCTCCGAGGTCGGCAGCCCCACTGGGGAGACAAAGGAGGTCGGGCGTGGTGTTGGCCACCCACCCCCTCGTGTGCCGTTTCGGCCTTCATAGGTGCTACTCGCTGGCAGCACTTGCCCCTACAGTCTGCACACGAGGGGGTGGGTTTGGCGGTGGTGGACCGTAGTGGTGGTGGCGGTGGTGTAGTGAAAGTGAATCGCAATGTGCAACTAGCCTGGAACAAGCGCCCCAATTCGTGGCAAGAGTGCCCACATGGTACACGAGGAGGTGGGGGGGTAGCCAACATTACACCTGGCCGGCTTTCACTCCGCAGTCCCGATGTTTACTACACACTGCACCAGGCACTCATTTGAGGCCGAGTCGACCTCGAGGAGGGGCCAAGACCGGTTAATATAATCGTCAGCGGTGTTGGCCATGAGCGGGGATCGAATTGCGGGTGGCCGGATTCGTAGCGCAGTGTCGCGCTAACCACGACACTACCGCTCCCCACATACAAGGACACCCCGTATGGCCTCAACAGACTGCTGTTGGGCAAGTGCTGTTAGCGAGCAGCACCTATGAAGGCCGTCACGGCACACAACGGGATGAGTGGCCAATGCCACGCTCGGCCGTCTTTGTCTCCCCAGTGGCGATGTTTACACACCGCATCAGGTACACATTTGAGGCTGAGTCGACCTAGGGGAGGCCCAGGAATCGAACTTGGGACGCCGCGATAACGCTACCGCTCCCCACACCACGCACAAAGACAAAGATCCCCCGTATAGCCTCAACAGACCGTTGGGGCAAGTGCTGTTTGCGAGCAGCACCTGTGAAGGCCGGAACAGCACACGAGAGGGAGCACGGCTTGCCAACACCACGCACACAGACACACACGCACACAGACAGACACACACGCACACAGACACACACACAGACAGACACACACACAGACACACACGCACGCACACAGACACACACGCACACAGACAGACACACACGCACACAGACACACACACACACACAGACAGACACACACGCACACAGACACACACGCACACAGACAGACACACACACAGACAGACACACACACACGTCGAGACGGAGACACGCGCACACACACAATGACGTGGCGTGAATGAATGGGTGGCTGTTGATGAGGACCGGTGGCCGCCTGCATCGTTCGCATAGCTTTCTGCGCTCCTCTTCCACCGCGCAGATGACGAACGCGCCGCCCCCCCCCCACCCACCCCCCTGCGCCTCGTCCCCTTCCTTCGTCGCCCTTTTGTCGTGAGCACGTAACGAGCTTAATTGGAGGATGCCAATTAAATGAGGGTGGCGGGCTCTTTATTTCTTAACCCCCCTCCAACCCAGGGGGGTCACGTGACTCACCCAGGGCGCACCCCCCGACTCGGGCGAAGCTCGCATCGCACGGCGGCTGCGTTCATAGGTGCCCGCCGAGAGCACCTGCCCCAACAGTCTGCCAAGAGGCTATACGGGGCATCATTGTCTTTATATATGTACGTGTGTGTATCTGTGTGGGAGATGGCACAGTAGGGGGGTAACAAGCTGGTGGTGCATCTACCGATCATCTCAGTCAGCCAACCCGTGGCACCTGCTGGGTCTGTCCCGTGACCTCCTCCTGCACCTAGTCTGGCACAGTAGCGGGCACCGCTGGTGGTGCATCTACCGGTCATCTCAGTCAGCCAACCCATGGCACCTGCTGGGTCTGTCCCGAGACCTCCTGCACCTAGCCTGGCACAATATGGGGGTACAAGCTGGTGGTGCATCTACCGGTCATCTCAGTCAGCCAACCCGTGGCACCTGCTGGGTCTGTCCCGAGACCTCCTCCTGCACCTAGCCTGGCACAGTAGGGGGTACAGCTGGTGGTGCATCGACCAGTCATCTCAGTCAGCCGACCCACGGCACCTGCTGGGTCTGTCTCGAGACCTACTCCTGCACCTAGCCTGGCACAGTAGCGGGCACAGCTGGTGGTACATCTACCGGTCATCTCAGTCAGCCGACCCACGGCACCTGCTGGGTCTGTCCCGAGACCTCCTCCTGCACCTAGCCTGGCACAATAGGAGGGTACAAGCTGGTAGTGCATCTACCGGTCATCTCAGTCAGCCGACCCACGGCACCTGCAGGGTCTGTCCCGAGACTTCCTGTCAGCAGCGGAGCCTTGGACACTTCACGTCGCCTTAAAGAGCACCTAGCCTGGCACAGGCGCCGCGGTGACGTCACCGTCACTTAATCGCGAATGGCGGCTATTGGATTTGTATTGGGAAGCGATCGTGGTGTGGTGCTTAGCGCAATGCGCACCGCAACCTGCGCGTCCACCTGTGGGTTCGATCGCCGGTCACGGCTAACATCAGTGGCGAGAGCGCTGTGCGTATCTGTAGCGTGCGCGGTAGGTGAGTGCCCCGTTACCGGGGAGACAAAGGCGGTGGTGCGTGCCACACTGCCTCCTCGCACGCCATTCGGAGTTGCTCGATATTTATGAATGGTGAAGTATAGTCAAACAACCCCCCCCCCCGCCATGACCGACACGGCATCGGGAGGTATTCATCCAGCAGTGGATTGGCAAAGGGCTGCAAGTTAGACAGGCGCAGCCCTGCAATTTTGTTGCTCAAGACCCCGCTGACGGATGGGCCTCCACGACAGAGGGAGCTCGAGAGAGCGACCGTCTAAGGAGGGTGTTTTGGCCTACTCTTCCACTGCCGGTCAGACGTCTCGGAAGAAATGAGGGTAGCCACATGTTACACCGGCCCCAGGCAAGCCTGCCGATTGACTAACTGGCTCACGAAGAGGGGCTGGCAATTATTTTCCTTTTTGCGTAATTGTTATGAATATTAATCCTGAAGGTTTTTTTGGGTTAGATCGCGTAAGTATGAATGTGCCGTAACCCTCCACCACCCGACACGGGCGGCAAGGTTTGTCACGCAAACAACGCGCGCCAATTAGTGACAGCTTCAGCCCACCAGTGTGTTGCAGAGTGGATTCACTCTGGGAGTTTGAACAGCAGGGAGTAGATTTACTCTCAAACACACCGGTAGTCAGATATCCCTTTTAAATGATATTGGGGTGTTGTTATCGCCACACGTATCGACCGCTGAACTCTCTCCCCACGTACCCTCCTGCAGGGAAATGTTCGTCTCTTTAATTCTCAAAATTGCAATTTTGCCTAAAACATAATATTATTTAGTTGCTGTGCGGTCATTGACGCCAGGGCTAAGACCGTCAAACTCACAGAAAATGAGAATCAGGTTTAATCGCCAAAACGTCTATCTGGTCGCTTTGTAACAATAGGGGTTTCTACGAAGGCATTGTTTGCGACCGGGCTGATACCATCAACTCTCTGCACTTGAGAACCCCGACTCATCACCACGGTTGAGCCGCCGCAGCGAAGATTCGAACCCAGGCTCCCAGCGGCGCCGACTCTGCGTTTCTCTGACCCTGGGGACCCACCTGGCCACTTCAGAGCAAAGGGGGTGTTGTGTGTGTATGTGTGTGTACTTGAGCCCACCCATCGTTCACCCCCCCCCCCCCCACGTCGCTCCCTTCACAACCCCCCACGAATTAATTCTCGTAAGAAGGCTACGCTGTCTGGCCACTCCCCACCACGCCACGTGTTTATCCCTTTACAATTCGCTGCTTGCAATTAGCCAACGGGCATGGCGCAATTAATTGATGTTTCAATTTGCGCATCTCGTGAACATAAGCAAGCATATAGGGGTGGTTTTGATTTAGATGGTTTTTTTCTCTAAACAAAGTTGCTGAGCAAAGGCCCCTGAATGGAAAGCGAACATCAACAAGCGGCCCTACCAACGTGAACACGTGTTTTGTTTTATTTTAATGAACAGGGTTATTATACGAGCTTGGGAAAAGAGAGGAAAGCAGGGAATTACAACGTGGATGTGTTTCTGTGTGGTTGTTTCTGTGTGACGGTGTGATGATGCGTCTGCGTGGTTGCGTGTCTGTGTGCTGGTGTGTTTATGGGGAGCGGTGGTGTAGCGGTTAGCACGCTGCGCTACAAACCTGGCGACCCGAGTTCGATTCCCGCTCACGGCCAACACCGGTGACGATTATCCGAACTGGTCCTGGGACTCCCCTAGGGCGACTCAGCCTTTAATAAGTACTTGGTGCGATGTGTAAACATCATCCAATGGGCAAAGCCGGGCAGGGGTGGTGCTGGTCACCCACCCCCCTGTTCGTGTGCCGTTCCCACCCTCATAGATACTACTCGCAAAACAGCACTTGCCCCAACAGTCTACTGAGGCTACACGGTGCGGTGCTGGTCTTTGTCTTTGTGCTGTGCCAGGCTGGAGGACAACTATGAGATCGCCGAGGGGGTGTGCATCCCGCGCAGCGCGCTCTACATGCACTACCTCGACTTCTGCGAGAAGAACGACACGCAGCCCGTCAACGCCGCCAGTTTCGGCAAGGTGGACACATCAGCGTCGTCGACATCGTCGTTGTAATTGTGGCCGTCGTCGTCATTGTCACCGTCATCGTTGTAATTGTGGCCATCGTCACCGTCATCGTCATCATCGTCGTCATCGTCACCGTCATCGTTGTAATTGTGGCCGTCATCACCATCGTCATCATCGTCGTCGTCGTCGTCATCATCACGGTCATCGTTGTAATTGTGGCCGTCATCATCATCGTCATCGTCGTCGTCATCGTCACCGTCATCGTTGTAATTGTGGCCGTCGTCACCGTCATCGTCATCGTCGTCATCATCACCGTCATCGTTGTAATTGTGGCCGTCATCACAATCATCATCGTCGTCGTCATCATCACGGTCATCGTTGTAATTGTGGCCGTCGTCATCGTCACCGTCATCGTTGTAATTGTGGCCGTCATCACCATCATCATCGTCATCATCGTCGTCATCGTCACCGTCATCGTTGTAATTGTGGCCGTCATCACCATCATCATCGTCGTCGTCATCATCACGGTCATCGTTGTAATTGTGGCCGTCGTCATCGTCACAACGTCAGCGGTTGTAATTGTGCCCGTCAATCGTCCATCATCGTCGTCATCATCCACCGTCATCGTTGTAATCTGTGGCCGTCATCACCATCATCATCGTCGTCTGGGTCATCATCACGTTCATCGGTGTTGTAATTGTGGACGTCTTCATCGTCAAACCGTCATCATTGTAATTGTGGCCGTCATCGACCATCATCATCGCGTCATCATCGTGTCCGTCATCGCACCACCGTCATCGTTGTTAATTGTGGCCCGCTCACCATCATCATCGTCATCATCGTCGTCTATAGTCACCGTCATCGTTGTATTGTGGCCGTCATCCCCCCCCCCCACCATCATCAATGTCGCACGTCGTCACGTTCGTCGTCATCGTCCACCGTCATCGTTGTATTTGTGGCCGTCAATCCCATCATCATCGTCCATCATCGTCATCGTCGTCATCATCGTCAATCGTTGTAATTGTGGCCTGTCAAGCACCATCACTAGTCCTAGTCGTCGTCCATCGGTCAACGTCATCGTTGTAATTGTGGCCGTCACACCATATCATGTCGTCGTTCATCGTCACCGTCATCGTTGTGATTGTGGCCGTCATCACCATCGTCATCGTCGTCGTCATCGTCACCGTCATCGTTGTAATTGTGACCGTCATCACCATCATCATCGTCGTCATCATCACGGTCATCGTTGTAATTGTGGCCGTCATCGTTGTCGTCGTCATCAACGTCATCATCGTTGTCATCAACAATGTTGTCATCATCCTAATCAACCCCGATCTCTTCATTATCCACCAACTCTGATGTTTACATGATCCGCCAAACCTCGACCACTTCCTAATCCACCCATTCTGATGTTTCCCATGATGCACCAAATCTCATCTCTCCATGATCTGCCCACCCCAATCTCTTCACCATCCACCAACTCTCATCTCTCCATGATCTAATTCTATATGTGAAGTTTTCGTGACTGCAAGGATTCATACTCTTTGGTTTTTTCGGTAAAGTCACGTAGGTAAAAAAATTTAAATAAATTAAATCACGACGTTTCGAGCGCAACACAAGCGACCTTCTTCAGGTGGGGACAACTTAGCGAAAGCACAACCGCTTAAGTGTGTCCATGATCTGCCCACCCCAATCTCTTCACCATCCATCAACTCTCATTTCTCTATTATCGGCCAACCCTCAATCCCCTGCTGATTCACAAACTCCGATCCCTGTACGTTCCACGAAAAGAACAAACAAACAAAAACAACCCCACGATCTCTTTGTGCGATCCACCAACCCCGGTCTCAGAGCGCCCGGCTGACCGTGATCACGTTGCGTGTCCCCTTCACTCCGCAGATCATTCGCCAGCAGTTCCCACAGCTCACCACTCGACGGCTGGGCACGCGGGGACAGTCCAAGTGAGTCGTCGCCTCGACTATAACCCCTCGCGTTCTCCTCCTCCTCCTCTTCTCTTACGGCGTGGTCGTCAAGGGGACGTCCATAAATGACGTCACGCACCTGGGGCGGGGGGGGGGTCAGTCATTTGTGACGATGGTTGACGAGGGGGGGGGTTGAGAAATGTGACGTCGCATCAAAATGCGCAACTTTAGATAAATATAGACAACAGCGTTCTACTTAATTAAATAGACGTTTTAATAAATGTTGACTCCTACAACATCAGAGTGCAGCGCCACATTAAATACGCACTACAATAACAATAGTTTAAAGCGATTTGAAGCATGGTTTTTTTTTTGGGGGGGGGGGCAAAGCTTTGTGACGTCATATTTTAGGGGGGGGGGGGTCTGATGTTGTCACGTAAAACAAAACAGTGGCAATTTAGTGACCTGCTTCAGCACACCGGTGTGCCGGAGAGAGTAACTCCGCAACATTTACAATTTGAGAACGTCAAGAAAACCAGCGAAACATCTGCCGACGACTTAAAACCGTGCAGTGTTGTTTGTCCCCTCCATTTCTCACGTTGACACGGGCAGTTGTTTTTGTATTTTTTTTGCACCGACATTAGTTCGCTTCATCGCTGTGCTTGATGTTTATTTATTTCTGGCGACCCGTGTGTCACTCACCCTCGCACGTGAGACTCTGGCATCTCGAGTTCTCACCCTGATTACACAGAATCGACTTGGAACTCAGAAAGCCCCTCCCCTCCCCCAACTAAAATATTTGAATCGGAAAGCTCACACCAGGTAATGATTTTAGGCTGAGTCGACCCAGGGGAGGCCCAGCACCGGGTCAGATAATCGTCACTGGGTTGGCAGGTTCGTAGCGCAGTGTACTAACCGCTACACTACCGCTCCCCACTCACGCACACATTCACACACGGACTCACTCACTCACGCACACTCACTCACACTTACGTGCACGCACACACTCGTGCATTCACGTACACACCCACTCACGCACACACTCACGCACACACACACACGTACACACACGCACTCGCGCACACACACACACGCGCTCATACACACACACGCACACACACACTCACGCACGTACACACTCACGCACACACACGTACACATTCATGCATTCACGTACACACGCACTCACGCACACACACACGCACTCACGCACACACACACGCACTCACACACACACACACGCACTCACGCACACACACACGCACTCACACACACACGCATTCACTCACGCGCACTCACGCACGCACTCACTCACGCGCACACGCACGCACTCACGCACACGCACACACGCACACACACTCACACACACTCACCCACACACGCACTCACGCACACACACTCACTCACGCGCACACTCACGCACTCACGCCGCAGGTACCACTACTACGGGATCGCCGTGAAAGAGTCTTCGGCCTACTACGACGTCATGTACTCGAAGAAGGGCGCCGCGGGGCTGGGCGACACGGCCAAGAAGGAGGCGCCCAAGCAGGCGGTCGCCTACTCGCCGCGCTCCAAGCTCGGCACCCTCCTGCCCGACTTCCCCAGCGTCAAGGAGCTCACGCTGCCGACTGGCATCCCCGCAGATAAGGTGCGCGCGCGCGTTGCACCTGCGCGTGTGCTGCACGTGGTGCACGTGTACGTGTGTGCGCACGCGTGTTGCACGCGTGATGCACGTGTGTGTGTGTGTGCGCGCGCGCGTGTGTGGGTACGCGCGTGTGTGGGTACGCGCGTGTGCACGTGTGTGTGCGCGCGTGTGTGTGCGCGTGCACGTGTGTGTGTGCGCGCGCGTGTGTGTGGGTACGCGCGCGCGCACGCGTGGTGCACGTGTGTGTGTGTGCACGTGTTGCACGTGTGTGTGCGCGCGCGTGTGTGTGGGTACTGCGCACGTGTACACGCGCGTGTGCACGTGTGTGTGGGGAACGCGCGTGCGCACCTGTGTGTCGGTACGCGCGTGTGCATGTGTGTGTGTACACGTGTGTGTGTGTAGCGGTTAGCGCGCAGCACTACGAAGCCGGCGACCCGAGTTCGATTCCCGCTCACGGCCAACACCAGTAGACGATTATCTGAACCGGTCCCGGGCTTCCCATATGTCGGCTGAACCTGAAATGAGTACCTGGTTCGGTGTGTGAACATCACCGGCCCCTCGTGTACCGTGCCGGCCTTCATGGGTGTTTGTTAACAGCAATCGCCACAACAGTCTGTCCAGGACATGCGGGGGAGCTTTGTCTTTGTGCGTGTGGGAGTCTGGATCAATGTTGCATCGCGGGAGGGTTGGGGAGTTGAATGAGCGAGCGGGTGAGTGGATTGGAGGAGCAGCAGTCGCAGTAACAGCATCAGCAGTAGCAGCATCAGTAGGAGCTGTTGCAGCATCAGAAGCAGCTGTTGCAGTAGCAGCATCAGTAGCAGCTGTTGCAGTAGCAGCATCAGTAGCAGCTGTTGCAGTAGCAGCATCATTAGCAGCTGTAGCAGGATGCGTGCGTAAGCACCGAGCCGGGCGCCCAATGATCCGTGTGGGGCATCCCGTCCCCGCGTCGGGCAGGTGTCCACCTTCATCATGATGTACCGCACGCACTGCCAGAGGATACTCGACACGGTGATCCGGGCCAACTTCGACGAGGTGAGAGCACGGACTCTTCCTCATTTCCGTCGTCTCCTCCACGATCCGCCTTCCAACGTCTGCCCCGGCCTTCTTGCGCGCCGCGGTGTGCGCGCGATTCCTCCGGCCGTGGCGCTGCGGCTGCTGCTGAGCGGGGCCTTCACTCCTCGCGACTCTTCTTGTTCGGATCACAACCGGCCGGCCTCGTGGACCTCTCACCGTCCCATCGTGCGCGGATGATGATTCGTGGCTGATGATGATGACGACGACGAGAATGCTGGTGGATTGATGGTGGTGGATTGATGGTGGTGGATTGATGGTGGTGGATTGATGGTGGTGGATTAATGATGATGTTGACGATGATGATGATGGCAGGTTGATGAAGATAATAGTGGTTGAATTGTAACAGTTGACGGCGGATTGATGACAGATTGATGACGGTGGTTTGATGATCGTGGATTAATGATCGTGGATTGATGACGACGACGATGGCAGTACGATGATGGAGTGAAGACGGCCTTCACGCAGCAGTGGCCAAGATCGCGCCAACGACGACGACGAGAATGACGCCGACGAAGAGCCACGACCTTCCCCCTGACGGCGATGACCTCGCGTGACCCCGCTGCCCTGCCCCCCCCCCCCAGGTGCAGAGCTTCCTGCTGCACTTCTGGCAGGGCATGCCCCCCCACATGCTGCCCGTGCTCGGCTCCCCGGCCGTGGCAAACATCGTGGGGGTGTGCGACTCGATCCTCTACAAGGCCATCTCGGGCGTGCTCATGCCCACTGTGCTCCAAGCTCTTCCAGACAGGTAGGGGGGCGGTGGGGGGAGCAGTGGAGGTGAAAGGGAGGGAGTTGATTGGCGGGGGGGGGGGGGTGTACCACAAAAGAAAGCATCATGGGGGGAATGATTGAAGTGGAAAGTCGCGTGTCTCCTCGTGCGCCGTGCCGGCCTTCGTCGGTGCTACTCGCTAACGGCACTTGCCCCCAAACGCTCTTGTTCAAGGCTAACACGGGGGACCTTTGTTTTCGTATGCGCGTGTGCGTGTGTATGTGTGTGTGTACGTATGTGTGTGTGTACGTGTGTGTGTGTACGTGTGTGTGTGTACGTGTGTGTGTGTACGTGTGTGCGCGTGTGTGTGTACGCGTGGGTGTACGTGTGTGTGTACGTGTGTGTGCGCGTGTGTGTGTGTGTGTACGCGTGTGTGTGTGTGTACGTGTGTGTGTGTACGTGTGTGTGTGTATGTGTGTGTGCGCGTGTGTGTGTGTGTACGTGTGTGTGTGTATGTGTGTGTACGTGTGTGTGTGTGTGTGTACGCGTGTGTGTGTGTGTACGCGTGTGTGTGTATGTGTGTGTACGTGTGTGTGCGCGTGTGTGTGTGTGTACGTGTGTGTGTGTGTGTACGTGTGTGTACGCGTGTGTGTACGCGTGGGTGTACGTGTGTGTGTACGTGTGTGTGTGTGTACGTGTGTGTACGCGTGTGTGTGCGCGTGTGTGTGTGTGTGTACGTGTGCGTGTGTACGTGTGTGTGTACGTGTGTGTACGTGTGTGTGCGCGTGTGTGTGTGTGTGTACGCGTGTGTGTGTGTGTGTACGTGTGTGTGTGTGTGTACGTGTGTGTGTGTATGTGTGTGTGCGCGTGTGTGTGTGTGTACGTGTGTGTGTGTATGTGTGTGTACGTGTGTGTGTGTATGTGTGTGTGCGCGTGTGTGTGTACGTGTGTGTGTGTGTACGCGTGTGTGTGTGTGTACGCGTGTGTGTGTATGTGTGTGTACGTGTGTGTGCGCGTGTGTGTGTGTGTACGTGTGTGTATGTGTGTGTACGTGTGTGTGTGTATGTGTGTGTGCGCGTGTGTGTGTGTACGCGTGTGTGTGCGCGTGTGCGCGTGTGTGTGTATGTGTGTGTACGTGTGAATGCACGCGCGTGCGTGTGCCCAGTCTCACCCAGGTGATCCGAAAGTTCGCGAAGCAGCTGGACGAGTGGCTCCGCGTGGCGCTGGACGACCTGCCGGAGAACCTGTGCGTCGTCAAGTTCGAACGTGCGTCCGACTCGGGAGCGGCGGCCACGATGACGATGATGACGATGATTATGACGACGATGACAGTGATGACGACGACGATGATAACAACGATGACGATTATGACGACACTGATAGTGACGATGACAATAACGACAACGATGATAATGACGGCGATGACGACGACGATGATAATAACAACGATGACAATGATGACGACGACGATGATGATGACGACGATAATGATAACAATGATGACGACGACGATGATTATGACGACGATGATAATAACGATGACAATAACGACGATGATGACGACGATGATAATGATGACGACGACGATGGGGATTCTTGCGTGGCGTAGCGGGGAACGGGAAGGTGCCGAGGTTCGGGTGATCGAGGCAGGCGGTGCGCGCCACTGCTGGACCTAAAGGGACCTTGAGGCCTTCCCGTCCGATGCCATCGGCGGTGTCGGCCGCGATGGCCTCTGCACTGCGGTGACACAATAAATAATGGGCGCACGATACGTCTCCTCCGCGTGCCTGTCTGGCCCTCCTCATGAACGATACAAGTTTGTATCTATATTTTTTTTACATCCCGTCAGTCACACGGACTTTCTGGAAATGTACAAATGTAACATTTCACCAGAGTTAGTTTGACACAAGCACACTCTGCATCCGGTGTGCCATCAGCAGAGTTCATGTGTGGCGGTCGCGTAGCGGCTCGCGCACTGCACTACGAACCCAGCGGCCCGAGTTCGATGCCTGCTTATGGCCAACACCCAGTGACGATTATCTGAACCAGTCCTGGGCCTCGCTTAGGTCGACTCAGCCTCACATGAGTACCTGGTGCGGTGTGTAAACATCGCCATTAGGGAGACAAAGGCGGCCGGGCGTGGTGCTGTCCACCCACCCCCTCGTGTGCAGTGCTCGCTAACAGCACTTCAGAATCTCAATATTACTGGTAGGAACCTCTTGGTTACACCAGCCCACAGGGGATTATTGTGTCCGTCCGTCGTGCATCCAAAAATTGGAGGGGTGGGGCTGGGTGGAGAGGGGAGGGTGGGGAGGGGCTGGGTGGGGAGGGGTTGGGTGGGGAGGGGAGGGTGGGGAGGGGCTGGGTGGGGAGGGTGGGGCTGGGTGGGGGGTGGGAGCGGAGGGGCTGGGTGGGGAGGGGCTGGTCACCCCGTGGTGCCCTTATAAAACTCAACATTTAACCTACTCACGCCGGCTTGTGCCCGCCCTCACAGTCGGGCATATTTGCGGAATACACCACGCCGCCGTTGACCCCGGCCATTGACCGAGCAACCCAACGTTCCTACCAGCTCCCTCCGCAGGAATGTGTTTATTTACGCTGGAGGAATCCGATGAGCCACAAAGCTATTTTTCACTTGCCCCAAAAGTCTATTGAAGGCTATACTGGGGGGGTGGGGAGTGGGTCTTTGTCCGTGTCTAACGTGTGGCCCCACAGGTAGCCGAGGGTCCAATTCAGGCACCTCAATCAGGGGGATGTACTCCGCGCTCCGGGGCTCCAATGTGTCACTCCGTTCCTCCGCCGTCACGCGCGCCGCGCCAGTTGTCTCCCCGCGTGGCGCCGTGAAGCCGAGAGGAGCCTCACCCTGGATGTGAACCCTTTCCCTTGCAGTGGCCCGGAGGTTTTCTCAGATCCTGCGGAGGCAGACTTCTCTCAACCACCTGTGCCAGGTGGGTCAGGTGACAGGTGTGTGTTTACCTGGCTGCTGAGTTCACATGTACTAACGAAATCAAACTATGTATGTTTTTTTTTTATTTTAACCAGGTAAGGCCCCATTGAGCTGTATAGGTCTTTTTTCAGAAGCGATCTGGCCACAAATAATAGCTCAACGAAGTGCCTTGTCATGAGGAAATTCAGAGCAGCCAAGCACTCTGAGTTCTAAATGCGAAGGGAAAAACCGGTGGACCCGGAGAAACATCCACACGACCACGTGGAGAGAGACTCGAAACACTACAAATATACAGCAGCAGGCGTCAGGGTCGGGATCCAACCCACCTCCTCCTGCATACCAGGCGAGGTAGTTAGCATTTCAAAGCCACCGTGATGATGAGATAGAGAGAGACGCAAACTACAAATGTACAGCAGGCATCATGATCAGGATCGAACCGGCAAAACTCCTGTATACCAGGCGAGGCAGTGAACATCTCCGAGCCACCTCTTATATTCATAAAAACGGTTGACCTTTACCGAGGAAAGCTTCATCGAGTCTCAAGACACTTTCACCGAGGATCCTGAATCGGGTTAGTTCGCCCCTTCCGTGAACGTGCGTTTGATTGGCATCCTTGTGGGAGGAAGCCGGAGAAAACTCCCCAAGCATCGACCTGGGCCCACTCAGCACCCCCATCTCCTTGACCTCACCCCCGCAGCGCCACGCCTACAGCACCTGGCAAGCCCTAAGCAGGCTCAGCCCCCCGCTTAGCTTGAGAGAACCAATGAGATTAAATGTTGATTTGAAAGTTTCGTGACCGCAGAAATCCATACTCTTTAGTTCTTACGGTAAAGTCACGCAGGTAGAAAATAAAATAAATCACGACGTTTCGGTCGCAACACACAAGCGTCCGTCGTCAGGTTCCTGTCCGTTACAACACGGAACCCGCACCCCGATATAACGTGGAACGCCCGGTGGCTAGGACTACTTGCTTGAGCTGCACAGCTGAGCGATACGGTACGCGGAATAAGGTAACGCGGCTGCGTACCCCCAGTAACTGGTCCCGCCGTCTCACCGTGCGCAGTGTGCGTAGTCCATCGTCTCTCGCCACACTTGATCGTCATGACATTATTTTAATTGTTTTCACTTTACACGTTTATCGCTTGACGCGTCACTTTTCAGGAACGCATCTACCGCGTTAAACGAGGACTTTGCGTGTAAACGTATAAATGTGTGTGCCAACAACAGTGACAATTACTTAAGCCGGTTCTGGGCCTCCCCTAGGTCGACTCGGCCTCAATTGTGCACATATTGCAATGTGTAAAAACATCGCAACGAGGGAGACAAAGGCGGCCGGGCTTGACGACGGCCATCCCAAACCCCTCTTGTGCCATTCCGGCCTTCATAGGTGCTCGCTAACAGCACTTGGCCCAATAGTCTGTTAAGGCTACACGGGTGGTCTTTGTGTGTGTGGCAGCTAGAGCACGCGCCAACAATTGCCCAAGCTCTGTAGCCCTATCATTATCGGGAACGTTATGGATACAGGGTGCTTCAAAACAAATGTTCACACTTCTGAGAATTTGCAACAATAAACACAAAAAGTGTCGTGCCTCCAAGCTCTGGAGACCACCTGGAAAAGATTCCAGGCCACGTGTTGACAATGATGGTGAACAAGTGGTGACTTTTTGACTTTGTGAAGCTATTAACTTACATTTGTTATCATGTTACAGTTATTTTCCATCAAAAAACGATAGTCGCGTGTAAGTGTTAAACATTGTTGTAAAGCTCCCTGTATGTACACGTGCGTTTGCAAAGTGTTTTTAATAGTAATTTGGCCAAGATTGTTGCGTGCCCCTAAACCACGCAAATTAAACTGCGAATCATATCATTGGGGATCCCTAGCATTATACATTTTAAAGATTACTGTGTAACAAAAAAACATTTATTTATTTTCCTGGGTAGTAAGTGTTATTTGCCAATTGCTTATGCCCCAAAAGTACAGAAAATGGCTATTATTCCCCACAAACTTTGCTTTTGTGACCACGACAGTGATATTTTGAAATGTACCTATTGTCAATGAGAAAACGTGGTGTGCATTTGTGTCATTCCTTCACGTAAAGTCCTGGTCACAAAAGCAAAGTTTGTGGGGAACAATACCCATTTCTGTACTTTTGCGGCATTAGCAATTATGAAATAGCACTTACTACCCAGGAACAAAAATCGTGTTACATAGTGAATCATTATTAGAATATCGGCCGTGCATTTCCCCCTCCCCCGGGGAAGCTGCTTGACGCACGCTCTTAATCGGGGCGGGGGGGGGCAGGGGGGGGCAGGGGGGGCAGGGGGGGTAGGGGGGGTAGGGGGGGCAGGGGGGGACATCGCACGCGTCCCACCGCAGCTAAAATAGTTCCCGATGGCGAAAGTCGTCCTTCGATGAGCGTCGTGCGGCACAGAGGCGCCACCTTCAAACGAAAATTCACCCTAGATTTGAAGCTTTCGTGACTGCAAGGATTCATATTCTTAGGTTTTTTCGGTAAAGTCACGTAGGTAAAAAATTATAATTAATAAAAGTAAAATAAAAAATGAAAGTAAAATCACGACGTTTCGGAGGCAACACAAACTTCCGTCTTCAGGTGGAACCGTCACAGCACGATTGCTGTATCAAGTAAGTTCCGCCTGAAGACGGAAGCTTGTGTTGCCTCCGAAACGTCGTGATTTTTATTTTACTTTTATTTCTTATTTTACTTTTATTAATTTAATTTTTTACCTACGTGACTTTACCGAAAAAAACCTAAGAACATGAAAATACACCCCCCCCAAACCCAACCCCGACGAACTGATTACAAATCGCTACCCCCCTCCCCCCTCTCCACCACCTCCACGTGTTCGACTCCCGTCCCTTCCAGGCGTCGCGCACGGTCATCCACAGCGCCGACATCGCCTCGCAGATGCTGGAGGACTGGCGCAGCGTGGACCTGGGCAGCATCAGCAAGCAGACGCTCTACACCGTCGACGAGTGGCGAGAGGAGCACCGCGCACTCACCGAGACGCGTCAGTGGCACCCCCCCCCCCGCCCGTCCGTCTGGTCTCATCTCTCGCTTGTATTTGATTGTGTGTGTGTCTAGAAGATTATGTGTGTATCTACAAAGTTGTGTGTGTCTATAATGTTGTGTGTATCTAGCACGTTGTGTGTGTGTCTAGAAGATGCTGTGTGTATCTAGCACGTTGTGTGTGTATTTAGAAGGTTTTGTGTGTATCTAGAAGATTCTGTGTGTATCTACAAAGTTGTGTGTGTTTATAATGTTGTGTGTGTCTAGAATATTGTGTGTGTATCTACAACGTGTTGTGTGTGTGTATCTAGAAGATTATGTGTGTATCTACAAAGTTGTGTGTGTATCTAGCACGTTGTGTGTGTGTCTAGCACGTTGTGTGTCTAGAAGATGCTGTGTGTATCTAGCACGTTGTGTGTGTATCTAGACGATTCTGTGTGTATCTAGAAGATTCTGTGTGTATCTACAAAGTTGTGTGTGTCTATAATGTTGTGTGTGTCTAGAAGGTTGTGTGTGTATCTAGCACGTTGTGTGTGTATCTCGAAGGTTGTCTGTGTATCTAGAACGTTTGTTAAATTACAAGATACACTCGACAAAAAAAGCCTCTCTCGCCGTGCGCACGCGCCCCCCCCCTCCACCCCCCTCCACCCTCCCCGCCACCCCACCCACCGCCTGTCGCCTGACGAAGCTGGTTGTAATTACTGGCGAAACGTCGTACTCCAATTGTCTAACGTTGTGTGTTTTACTCTCCAACATATCCGGTGTTCTGTACTCGTAACGAATTGCCACGTTTTGTTGACGTGACAAACATTACTAATGGTCTGTGTCGGGTGGTGGCGGGTTTCACGACGCATTTATATATTTACGCAATCTAACCCAACAAAAAATGTAACCCGTAAAAACAAAGTTTTTCACTATAAATCCTTTATATGCGTGGCGGCTAGAGTCCTCTCGTCCTCTGGCTTGAGATGGCTGCCACCTATGGGTCAGATAATTGTCTGGCAGCATTAAGCAATTGGTAATTAAATATTTAAATTGTTTTCCCTAAACAGTGTAAAATTTTGGAAAAAAATTTTCACGAAAATTTATTGTCACGCACAACGAGTCTGTGTGCAAAATGTCAGCTCGATTGGATCACGGAAAGTGGGTTAAAAAACGACCGAAAGATTTGCACGGTCGTAAGCAAGCAAGCAAGCACGCAAGCACGCAAGCAAGCAAGCGAACTTAATATAAAGGATTTAATAAAAACTCTATTATGGACGGAGGAGAGACATCGCGGCGATTCGCACCGCTTGCGCCCGACGTGGTTGTCTGCCGGCTTGCCCACCTGAATGTGAAGTCGCGGTTATCGCTCTCCACCTACAATCGGCAGCAGCCGTACGGCAGAAGAAAGGCGCTCGCTCGCAGTACTCGCCCCAAACAACTTGAGAGGCCTTCACGTGCTGTTTGTGTTTAGTTGTCCTTCCCCCGCATCTACGATTAGCACGGTTGGCTACGTACGGTGCGAAATAAGTTCTACATACGTGCATCTGTGTGCGTGTGTGACAGATGTCGCATTGCACTCACGCCCGCTCCTTCCCTGCCTCATCCACCAACTCCCCTCTCCCCTCTCCCACCCGCACCTTCTTTTCCACTCCGTTTGCTCCGACTGCCGAGGAAAGCGAGCGCGAGAGAGAGAGAGCGAGAATCTGCTGATGAACCTCGGGAGGTCACTGAGAGGCACGGGGTTCCGGCTACGATAATTATTCCGGCACATCAAGGGGTCAAGGGTCGCCCGCAGTGGTCTATATGCAAATCCGGAGTAACCTTCCCGATGGTGTGGGTGCCCAGAAACCCCCCCTGCGATTAACACCACAACCACCACCACCACAACCACCACCACTACTTACCCCTCCCTCCCGACTCCACCTGTCTGCACCGTACCCTTGAATTCCTGAGTCGAAACAGAATCAACAGGCATCCACCGAACCACTCACTGACCTACCCACCCACCCACTCACTAACCTACCCACTCACCTACATATCCACCCACCAACTCCTTCACCTATCCACCCACCCACTCGCTAACCTACCCACTGACTCACCTACCCACCTACTGTATCCCCCATTCACTTGGCCACTTGTACACTCATTCACACACCTATCCAATCACTCATCCACTTATCCACCCACTAACTTACACACTCACCCATCCACCTACCCACCCACTCTGTCTCTTATACGCTCACTCACCCCAACCACTCACTCACCCCACCCATTCCTTTACCCACCCACCCCAGTCAACACCCACTCACCCATTCAGCTCTCCACCCTCCCAGCCCAAGCGGCTACCCCCTCCCAGGCACCATCAATAACCTCCGGACCTCCTGCCCGCCTCTAATTTCATTTAATGCTTGACATTTCGCGGTGATGGGCCCCGGTCAGGTTTCTGCTTTTGTTATAAATCATTAACTTACATTCATCTTCTTATGCACATTAGGGTTATGGGGGGAGGGGAGGGGAGGATTGATTTTTTATTATTAATCAGCCGTGGTCTATCCACTGCTGAATGAGGGCCTCCTCACACCGTCGCCATCTCCATCTCGATACGGTGCATGAGCAGATGTCTCCCCGGCCGTCATTTTATCTGGGGAATTTTCTTCCTTCAGTTGCCGTATCATCATCCCAGTGTCGTCCATCTGCTGCCATCATCATCATCATCCCAGTGTCGTCCAACTGCCGTCATTATCACCGGTTCTGGGCACCCCCGAGGTCGACTCAGCCTCAAATGGGTACCTGTTGTGGTGTGTAAACATAACCGATGCGGAGACAAAGGCGGCCAGGCATTGTGTTAGCCACCCACACCTTTGTGTGCCGTTCCGGCCTTCATAGGTACTCGCTAACAGCACTTGCCCTAACAGTCTTAAAAGCCATATCGGGGTGTGGCTAGGTCGACTCAGCCTTGAATATGCACCAGTTGTGATGTGAAACGCTCAGCGCTGGGGAGACACACGTCGCCCGCATCATACACCGCGTCAGTCGGTGCTACTCGCCAACAATCGCTTTCTCCGACGGTCTATTGAGGCTATCCGGGGGGTGATCTTTGTCGGGGCTTCTCTGTGCGTGCGCAGTCTACCAGGAGTTTGAGCAGCTGCTGGAGGAGCAGTCGCCCATGGAGTCGTACATCGAGTGGCTCGACTCGATGGTGGAGAGATGCGTCGTGAAGGTAGATGCAGCTCGATCCCCTAAACCATAACCCCTGCACCCATCATCATCATCATCCCCCCAAGCTGTTGCCACCATCTTCACGGTCTCGTGACGCGACGTTCCGCATCAAGCACCCTACGCAAGACCTCGTTTCACCGTCGCGGCAAACGCGCTTCCCTCTCCGGGGCCGCGTTCCCTCCTTTTGTCAGCCACTCCTCGTGGCTGCTCTCAGTTGTCGTTCATCGCGGCCGTCGCTGCCCGCGGTTGTTGTTGCTCATTCTCTCTCCCCCCCCCCAGCCCGCGACCAGGAGGCCCGGCACCCTGAAGCAAGTGGCCCGCCAGTTCCTGCTGATGTGGTCGTGTTTCGGCACCCGCATCATTCGCGACATGACGCTCCACAGCGCGCCCAGCTTCGGTGAGAACCTGCCAGCGCAGCCGCATCATCAGAAATCCTTTATATTAAGTTCACTTGCTAGCTTGCTTGCGCGCTTACGACCGTGCACATCTTTCGGTCGTTTTTTAACCCACTTCCCGTGATCCAATCGAGCTGACATTTTGCCCACAGACTCGTTGTGCGTGACAATTTATTTTCGTGAAAATTTTTTTCAAAAATGTTACACTTTTTAGGGAAAAAAACAATTATATTTAATTACCAATTGCTTAATGGTGGCAGGCAATCATCTGACCCATAGGTGGCAGCCATCTCAAGCCAGAGGACGAGAGGAGTCTAGCCGCCACGCATATAAAGGATTTATAGTGAAAAACTTAGTTTTTACGGGTGAATTTTTTTACGTCCCGCTTCGAGGGCGCGAGCACAAAGTGAGAAACGTAGCGAACGGGGTGAACGCCGCGAAGATGGTCGATGGGTTGCGCCAAACCACGGCGGCGCTTTACGAACGCGCGGAATGGCGGGGGCTGAATGCGAGCTGACGCCTCCAGTTCCAGGTGGCGCCGCTCCGTGTCGCGAGGTCGACGTTGGGCGAGTATCGATTGGGGCGCACGTCAGCGGTTGTAGGGGTTCAGCGTAGGAGCAGTGAATTCACTCGTCCATGGCGAGTTGAATTTTGCAAATGGTTTTGGCGCCCGTTGGGTGATTGTTGTGCGTTTTGTTTGTTGACCTTTACCTTGTATCACCGGTGAGCACGGCTGGCTAAGTACGGTGCGAAAGAAATTAAACGTACAAACATACAAATGATGTTGACGGAAAGACCGCAGAGACAAACAGGATTCAGGGATTCATCTTCTTGGTTCTTTCGGTAAAGTCACGTAGAAGGGAAATAATAAAATAATTAAAATAAAACATAATAAAATAATTCTCACGACGTTTCGGCTACAACGCAAGCAGCCGAAACGTCGTGAGAATTATTTTATTATGTTTTATTTGTATTATTTTATTATTTCCCTTCTACGTGACTTTACCGAAAGAACCAAGAAGATGAATCCCTGCAGTCACGAAAGCTTTAAATCGAAAGGATTCAGGGACTTTGCGTTTATCACAAGCGAGGAGGAAATGCCGGGTACGCAGGGACCAGACGTCTATCCCCCTCCCGCCCTGTCCTGGGGTAGGGTCATGAAGGGTTCTTCACAGGGGTCCAGAGGGGGCGGTGAGGGAGACTGCGGTTGGGGGCTACGATCGGGGTTGCCAGGGGTGGGGGGGGGGGGTCCCGGCGGTAGGGGAGAAAGTTGATGGGGTGAGGTGGTGGGTGGGGGGAGGGGTGTGTCGTCTTTAGAACTTCGAGTGATTTTAGTGCTCAAGAGCTGCGCCACGGTGAGGGATGAGCAATTCGCCCAACAAACGCCGGCGATGGTAAAACGTCGACAGCGGCGTTAAACGTTAACTTTAAACGTTAAACGCCACCACCATCACCACCACCACCGCCGCGTGTTTCCTCTGCGAGCCGCGCGCCGCGCCGCGCTTGATAACGGCCGGAGCCGGGAGGCGCACGGGGCGATCGCGCGGAACAGCGCCGCCGCCCGGCGCCGAGTCCACATCGAGAGACAAATCTCACGGCGTGCAAACTACGTGCGTGCGTG